TACTACTGCCCGGGGCTGTCATTAACAAATTTCAAATATTTTTTCATTAAGTCTGCATTTTTATTCATTGTAGTCATTAACTAAGCTTTTTGTTTCCTGTTCTGCACACCTGACATCCTCTTCTTAGGTACTTGTGGGCACCTATATATGTGCAGTGAGACTGCTCTGACACACTCTAATTACAGCACGTCCAAGCAGATTTGATTAATTACTGCGCTCCAGCAGACCCCAGCATCATGTGTATCAGCATTCCTATGCCGAAAAATGGTGGTGGGGGCCCTTGCACACACTTGCACTCACTTGCACAACCTGGCACACATTTTCACATGCTTGTACACCCTTGCATAAGCTAATCATACGTTCCCGATTGGCCAGGACAGTCCCAGATTTTGGAGACTGTCTCAGTATCACAGCCCTTGGAGAAAATTGAAGCAAAAGTCCCAGATTGGTGGGAACCCACTCACACATGCATGGCTCCTGAGTCAGGAACCGGCCCTTCCAGGTGGGTTCCCACCAATCCAGGACTTTTGCTTCAGTTTTCTCCAGGGAGCCCAGCCACTGCGTCTGGACTCTGCTGGGTTGTGAGTGGAGTCACTTGCCCAGTAGAGTAGTCACTTGCCCAGGGGAAGGGGGAACACAGGAAGGAAGAGTCTGGGGTCATTGCCCAGCCCCACTCTTGGGAACTGTGGGGTCGGGACTGTGTGTGTATGCATGAGTGAGTTTTTGGTTGTAGTCATATTTGTCTAAGGAGATAGGCAGGCAAGGCTCTTTGAGTAGATGTGATATCTTTTATTAGACCAACCGAGTAGTTGGAGAAAAGTTCTTAGCAAGCTTTCGGGCACAATCACCCTTCTTCAAGCATAGGAAGTCTCTGCTATTCTGCGGCTCCAAGGAATGAAAGAAGCTGAAGTGTAACAGGATGTTAATGAGAATGTAAATAGGTGGAAATTAGGAAAAGAAAAGGTAGAGCAGGGAAGGGAGGGGGGAAAAAGCAGGGGAAGAAACAAAGGCAAGTAAGGGAAACTACGGTAGTAATAATTCAAGGGAGAAAAGAGGCTGACTGTGATAAAGTAAATAGCTGGAAATCAGGAAGACAAAGGGCAGAAAAGGAAGGGAGGAAAAGAAGTTTAAGAGGTTAGGTCTGGGAGGTGTCTGGTGAATCAGATGTCTGGTAGGTTGTAATGTATCATAAATCCAGCGTCAATAGTCCATGATTTTTTGTATCATGATTTATGAAGTGAAGTTCATTGGGTCATCTATGAAAGGTGTTTTTTAAGTTCCCTTTGAGGATTGGAACTGAGAGAATGGAAAGAGTGGTTATCTTGTGAGAAGTGTGCACCCACAGTTCATTTGGTATTTTTGTCTTCAGTAGATTTTCAGTGTGCATTCATTCTGATACGTTCATTCACCTGTATGTGTGAGTGGTATATAGGAAACACATCCCATCAACTTGACAGGTGCCGTGCACATGCTGCCATCTTGCAACTGGAAGTCCTGCCCTTGTTTCCCTTACATGGTGGCTGACTTCAGAAACCCTGCCTCCCTATCCCCACATCACATGGTGAGGGACATCAGAAAATCTGCCCCCACCCCTCAGTCACAGGTGCATGATATCAGCCCTGCTCCTTAGGCTGCCATTTTGGTGTTCATTTTGACTACAGTGTTGGTCCCAGAATTCCCTGCCCCCATCATATGGTGTGTGACACCTCCTGTTACATGGTCCATGATATCAGAAGGGTCATCCATCAGCAGGGGGTTGTAAACCTTCTAACAATACACCCCACCACCGTCAACCAATTGGTGGGGGGTTTCAGAGGCCTCGGATCTCTCTAAGAAAGGCACCAAACCAGCCAGAGCAAGTAGAGAGGTGGGGTCTAGGCTGCAAGCTGCCAGTCTGTCTGTTTTCCATGTGTTTTTCTGAGACTGCACTAAGGCAGACAGAAGCAGATATGGATTCTTACATTACACTGGTCCTCCCTTGTCTTCAGTTCACCACCGACTTGTCAGGTGCCTGCAAAGAAACTGTTACTGTAGTGTTAGTCCTGAGGAGGAAGGGAAGATTAAAGAAGGTAGCCCAAAGACTGCCTGAGACAACTGAACCTGGTCAGGAAGCCCATGAGAGCATGCAGCAGGCCTGTGAGCCAGAGGCCCAGATTCACACAGCAGACAGAGAATTCGGGAGAAGAGAGGTGCCTTATGCCAGACCCTGAGTGGGAAGAAGATGTCAACAATAGAGCAGAGATGCTGGTAAGAGGCATGAAGCATGGCTGTGGGGGAGGATACAATGCTTTTAAACACAGTTCATTTTACAGAAAAACTTAATACTATATGGGTGATTAGTGAGGAAGATAGGCTGTTGTTATCTTATAGTGAACATTTAATTGGCACTAGAAATTATAAAACCCTGCTTAGGAGAAGGGTTTACCAAAATTTTTTAAAATTTATTTTTACTGGTGTTACTTTTGCTTTTTGGGGAGATTGGGGTGGGGATGGAGAATTAGCCCTGTGAGTGTATTGTAAAGATAAAACCAGCAAGACTTAGGTGTCATTAGAAATTACAAAAGCCCTTCTTAGGAGAAGGAAGGTTTTGAGGGAAAAAAGCAGTAAATTTTGTATGGATTTGATGGAAATAAAGACTTTTAAAATACATTCTCACTGGTGTCATGTATGCTTGCTTCTGTTTCTTGGGGAGGGGATGGGAGCATGTCAAAATGAATAGCTTACATAACTTGAAGGCACGGGTCAGCTATGTAAGTGTGTTTTAAGGATAAAACTAACGTAACTAGAGGGTCTTAATGAAAACAATTTTTAATGGTAACTTTGTTTTAAAATAGAATTTGGTATACACATATTTGGAGATAAAGGATTTAACTTTAATAAAACAATTTTTAATGGTGACTGTCGTCCAACAGAGTTTCATATATGTTTAGTATTATTACTACACACACACACACACGCACACTTTCATTTTCTGTATTATTCAAATTTTATTATACAGAGCTTATCTAGTGGGAAAACCACACCCAATTTTACCACAGCAAGATTTTAAAATATTTAAGAAATGGAGGGGTTATTTGTGACTGTGTTAATATAAGTACATTAAGTTATAATATTGCCTGTAGCTGTTTGTTTTCAAATAGAACCCCTCCTTCTAAACTAGAAAAACAGAACAAATGTATACCTTTGTGTCTTTATCCAATAGTGAAAGGTACATTTTTTTAAATAAGCTTTTGAAACTTGTATGTGTGGGTATGTGTGTGTGTGCTAATGCACTTCTTGGGAAGGGAGGTTTTGGGTGTGTTTTGAATTAGCCCTGTGAGTGTAGAGATAGAGAGGGTTAAGTCTTTTTTTAATTAGTAATGTGTTAAGCTTAGTCATTCATTTGTAGAAAGCAAATTCTTAATGCTGAGAGGTAAATTTTATATTTCCTAAGTGATTACATGCACTACCCCCAAAGAAGGAAGCTCTGCTTTGGAAAATCAGTTCCTAAAAATGTGACAAAGGCAGAAAATGGGTCAGAGGCCTCTAAAAAATTGTCAGAAAACTATAGAAATACTCAGCCTGAGGATCAGAATGCCCTTCTGCCAAAAGGATAGAGCAGAAGGACCATGGTAAAAAAAGAAAGAAAAAACATAATATGGTTCCTCAAAGGAAAACATACCACCTACCCCTGAGAAAACCATGGGTGAAAACACAAGGATTCATACCCTGAAAGCTGGCAATCTGGGGCACATGAATAAGAAAGCCAGGACTCATACACTTTAGAGAAGCTGTTTGAGAGAGAAACATTTTCATCTGTTTGAGAACGATTATGATTATTGTGAAAACCAAAAGATGAGGTCTTTGGGAGTTGTGGGCATGGGTGACTGGTGTCTCCCAAGTCTGGGGGGTCACCAGATCACTGAATGGGGTGGGGGGGACCTCCAGTGGCTAATTGTCGACCGGGGTTGTGGGGGTCCCCCAGCGGCCGATCACTGAGCCCAGAACCACCAGCGGTGAAACTGGCGAAACCAGAAGTACACTTCTTCCGGCACTTCTGGTTTTGCGGCTGGTACTGGTTTGCAAAGCAAAAAGTAAGGGCCTAGATAAAGATGATCGTGGAGAAGGCTAAAAGCCTGTTGAGAAAAAAATAAGAGATCCTCTAGTGATGGTGATTTAGAAAACCATCTGGAGAGCCCCTTGAACGCTCCCCCTCCTCCCAAGCCTGTGGAGAGCAGGGATGGAAACTGATTTCAAAAACCCATTAGAGAGTTCCTTGAATGTTCCTCCTCCTGAGCCTGCAGGGGATGTTTTACTAGGCCTACCTATGGTGCGGGTGTGAAGACAAGAATGGTCTGGGGGTTTGGAGGTGCAAGGTACACAGAGGAGTTTCATTTTGTGAATCTGGATCATATGCCGTTACACGTGGTAGAGGAAGCCATAAGCAAAGGGGTGAACAAACTGTAGCAGAACTCCACCAGAAATTCATGCCAGACAACTATGCCCAGGTATGTATTCAGGCAGATAGCATGAGAAACTGTTTATATTCTTGAGCTATTACTTTAAATTGGATGTCCCCTGACCTGTTGGATGTTTAGAGTGGATCCGTAACCTGTTACAAAGCCAGAGGGAACT